CAATAGGGGACGCTTTTACAGACAAGAGAAGCGCCCGCTCACCCCAGTGTATTGAGAAATTCCACTTCTTTCTCTCACTTTTCCCCTTCAGTGGTTTCTAAAAGGAAGACATTTCTGGTGAGATGCAGTTGGGTAAATGGTGTGTGTCTACTTAAGCAAGCAAGGGGTAACAGGGGATTCTGCGTCAATACAAACCTGACTCTGCTTTGGGCCCCGGGGGTGTCCTTAGGTGCCCACGTTGACGCTTCCTGGGGGGAAGTAAAAACTGTTATGGTTGTTACTGGTCAGGTGATTAAACTGATTCTCCCAGGGGTGAAGCACTTGTTCAAGGTCACATAGCTATTAAATTGTGGAGCTAGAATTTGAAGCCAGCTACAATTAGTTATCATTTGGAGCCTTCACATAAAGCAAAATTGTGCCCTGGCTGAGTGGTTCAGGTGGTTTCTGTACACCAAAAATAGTGGGTTTGAGCCCTAGTGAGGGCACATGCCTAGGTTGTAGGTGTGACTCTCTGCAGGGACATGTAGAGGAGGCAAATAATTGAAGTTTCTCTCTTTCTCTCAAATCAATAAACATACTTTCAGGTGAGGATTTTAAAAAAGAAGAAAGAAAAGCACTATATGTCAAATCAACTTTCAGGGTCCTTATCCTAAATCTGAAGCCGAGCAATTACCCAATGTCTCAGCCATAATTTACCGCGCTGCTTAGAAATGCCACACCCTGATGGCAAGCTCAGCTGCTTTTCCCTAGAAATCTGCCAGTCTTGTGCACGCTGTGGACAGTGGGTTGCTCTCACCCTTGGGCTTGAGTCCCCAGTAACCGAACGACCACAAAAACGTCATGAAAGGGACTCCTAGGTCCACTGCAGACACTTCCTCACCACCACAGCGATGTAAGGAAAAGGAATGGCATCACGAAAGTGTAGCGTTTCCCTTCCTGGAACTAGAGAAGGAAGCTGCCCATCTGACCGATGGGCTTACACACCCACCTTCTGAGCCAGAGGCTGGGCCTGGGATTTCTCCAGGTCCCTTCAGCTCTGAGGTTCCACGGGCCATGAAGGACAAAATGACCTTGATCTTTACCCATTAAAATCTGCTCACAAGAGACACACCTAAGGTTTTAAATTCTTCTCCAAAGCAAATGGCTACGTGGCACAGAAAAACGCCTGCGTAGTGTTTTCTGTTTCTTCCTCTTTCTTTTCTTTAAAAAAAGATCGTATTTATTTGTAGAGAGACAGAAAGGGAGAGAGAAAAGGATGGAGAGAAACCTCAATGTGTGGTTGCCTCCCGTGCACCCCCAACAGGGGACCTTGCCCGCAACCCAGGCGCGGGCCCTAACCGGGAATCAAATCGGCGACCCTTTGGTTTGCAGGCCAGCACTCGATCCACTGAGCCACACCAGCCGGAGCTGTTTCTTTCTCTTAACTGGATTTCCTGTTCTTTCCTAGGAAAACAAAAGCCCTTTCTCCTGATTCGCTGGGGAACACTGACCAGCATTATCTCTGTTCCCATAATCTCAGGAGCTGACATCCTTAAACAACCAGGGGACCTGTACCCCTGGACCAAGAAGAATATATTAGAAGCTCCTTCTGTTAGGACCGGGAGGTAAGCACTCCTGATGAAAATTAATCTCCTTCAAAGTATTTATTAATGAGGAAAGAAGTACAAACTTCCAGTTACAAAATAAGTCACAGGGATGCAAAGTACAGCCCAAGGAATATAGTCAATAATATCCTTATAACTATGTATGACGACAGATGGTTACCGGACTTCCTGGGTTGTTCCCATCGTAAGGTATATAAATGTTGAATCACTATGTTGTACACCTGAGACTAATATACTATTGCACGTCAACTGTGAAAATAAATTTTAAAATAAATAAAATGATTACAAAGACTATGAAAGGGAAAATATTACTGGGGCACTTAAATTGCGCTGTGTACTTCAGGCTCCTTATTCTCAAGAAATTTACAATCTGGGGGCGGGGCAGGCGTGAGGCATAATGCAATGAAAATGCTATCATGGAGCTGCAAATGGAAGGAAGGGGGGTCACGGGGGGACAAGGTGTGCCCGTGAGACTGTGAGAACTGCTTCACGGAAAAGCTGGCCCTTTGGGAGGGTCAGCGGAATTGGATGAGCAGATGAGATAAATATAAGCATTGAAGCCCAGGGACCAACCTAAGCCAAAGACAGAGGCCAAGTTCTAAGAAAGTGAGCTACTCCTGGGACACAGGGCCAACCGTAGAAGCAGCCAGGAAGGTGGGCTGGCTTGGCTTTCGCCCACTGTTCAGTGAGAGGGATCGAGTGCTAAGGGCCCTCCCTGACGAACGACTCCAGCGATTATAGTCCACGGGGCGGGCCCTGCACTCACGCCTCTGGTGGGGACACCCCGGCCCAGAACTCACCCCAGCTCAGGCACACGGCGGTGGCCATGCCAGCCAGGCAATTCAGTCAAGAAAAGAGACCTGCTCCGCTAATGGCTGGGATGAAAGCTAAATGAATCCGACTCGTATGAAAGAGATGCTGCCCCTTGTCCCTCTGGTCTTATTAGCTTAATTAACAGCACTTGGCAGGAGTATTGAGGCGGCGTTGACGTGACGTTCCCGTCACCCCTCAAAGCCCCGGATACACATTGGTGCAGCCTTTGTAATAAAAACCCAACACTCAACCGCGGCCTGCGTTTCTACCAGCCTTTCCCCTAAGAGAGCGGGGGGCTCTCAGCGGGGCTGCTTTAAACCAGTGTTCCTCACGCCATGGCCCGAGAACCACTGGCTTCAAACTACATGGAGTTTGGCTATAAAATGAACTTCGCAGGCTCACCAGACGCGCAGAGCCTGAATTTCCAGGACTCGGGCTCCGATTTCAGTAGTGTTGGTTTTTCTCTCTTTAATTTTTTTTTTTGATTGTGGTAAACTATACATAGAATAAAATTCACCATTTTAACCATTTCAGTGTACAGTTTCATGGCAGTAAGTACACCTTTCCGTCTGATACCAGATCACCCCCTCCCCACATAGACCTTTGGACGCCTGCTTCCACAAGCAGCCCTGGGGTTTTTTTTCAAGGTACAGGAATATTTTTTGCAGTGTTTATGTACTTCTTAACCATGTGACATGTATAAAATGGTGCTACCATTTTTATTAAGTTTTTTGGGGTCGCTGATGAAGTTTTAGAGTTTTGTTCTCTAGCCCCTTTTTCCCCAGAAGTCTTGTGCACAGCACGGTGATATGTAAGAAGGAATCCGTATGTCACCTGATGGCAGAACTAGCAGCATGAGTGATAGTACTTGCTGCGTCTCGTCATCTGGTTAATACGGCTTCAGGAGCACACTGCCCTTGTCCCCGACTCCCTTTTCTTCCTCTACCTGCTCCTCAGAGAACCGGATTCCAGATGCCACTAGAGGGCGCACTCCTCTGATGGGGGTCCCCCGCGGCTCTGCAACCTGAGCTTTGGGAGAAGCAGGTGGCCCGGTGAGCCTTACTCCACACACTCTCACTCCTCCTGCGCCCCCTGGCTTCAACGCATTTAGGATTTGGGGCTTTAGGTCACTTGGTCTTCTCTCCTGGATGCTCCTGTGTCCATACCTGCCCCCCACCTGCTCTCTCTCGCTGTCTGGCTGGACCCCACTTTTGAATGCTCATCCTTCTGAGACGTCAGCTGGTCTGAAACAACTACACCATCTAGCTGTCATCTGTAGATGAGATGTCCCCTGTGCCCATGCTTATTTACGGTGAACCTCACCCCGTTTGGCCTCTGGCTCCGTGCCATCCAGGACACCCGTCTGGTGGTCCCTCTTCCCAGCTCTGTCTTTGTGAGCAGCCCCGACAGACTCCAGTCAGCTCCCAGCTCACCTGGCTCTTCTGTCCCCCTGTCCTGGCACATGACCCATACGGGTCTGCTTCAGAGCCAAACATGGAGCTGTATCGCGTCTTTCTGTGTTTCGTAAGACAATAGGTCTGAGTTGGATCATTGTAATACAAAAGAAGCTCAAATAATTGTCTTTAAAATCTATTTGTTCGGCTTGCCTTATCTACCTTACTGTTTAATTGTAGCATCACCATTATGGACTTGAAAATTCAATGTATTGGGACAGATGTAGTTTGGGGCTCTCGTTTACCACTTGTTACCACAAAATCAAGGGCAAGACACCTAGTTGAGTGTCTGCATTCGGGGGCCAGCACTGAGTCATCTATAAAAAGAAAGGAGTGAAACAAGACCATTTAACTGTTCTTCCAAGCCGGTATTCTTACTCCCACATCTCTGCAGGGATTTTTCTGTCTGGTCAGATGAGATGAGACTCCGTTCTGATGCTCGGATAAAACAGCAGCTGCAAAACTGGCAGCAGCGTCGGGGCCAAGGTGATTCTTCCCCGCAAATACTGGTCGTTCAGTATCAGAACACGTTTACCTGACAGCTCCTTAAAAATCCTCATTTGTGAAACCACAGTTGCTATTCTCTTTTCTTCTATAACAGAGGTCAGCAAACTATGGCAGTTGGATGGCAAAGCCTAAAATATTTATCATCTGGCCCTTTACAGAAAAAGCCTCCCAAGCCCTGTTGTGGAACATTAGACATGGCAGTTTTTATATATAAACTATGAGTTCTCGATGTGAGGGTGAAAGGGGCAGGCTTCAGGAGGTTGCTGCACCCCCTGAAACTGGAAACAAAACTCGGTTTTGAGATGCAAAAGTGCGGTTTTGAAAGGCAAGGAATCAGAGCTATCGTCAGATTCTTGACGGGGTCCATGACCTCAAACCAATTAAGAACCACCGTGCCTTGTAGAAAATGCAATAGAAGTGCTAGAAAGACAGTGAGAACTGCTCTATCTACATCAGGCAATGTTTGTCAACAGCTGTGCCCATGGGGCCGGAGGACCACAGGGTCTGTGAGAGCAGGCACATCCCATTAAAGCTCAGAGGATTCCCCAAGTTCTCAAGCCCCATGTGCCAAGCCTCAAGCTTGCGTAGCTGGGTTTTCATTCTCCCTTCTCTCCACAGGATCATGGGAGATCACCTGGAGCTTGTCTTAGGAGTGGTGCTCATGGTCAGTCCGGTGCTTGGAATTTCTCCCTGCTCCTCCGACGGTCGGATCGCCTTATATCGTTTCTGCAACCTCACCCAGGTGCCCAACGTCCCCAACACCACCGAGAACCTCCTGCTAAGCTTCAACTATATCAAGACCGTGGCAGCCTCCTCCTTTCCCTTCCTAGAACAGCTACACCTGCTGGAGCTCGGGAGTCAGTTCACCTCCCTCACTATTCACGAAGAAGCCTTCAGAAACCTGCCTAATCTTCAAGTCTTGGACTTGGGCAAGAGTCAGCTGGACTTCCTGCACCCAGATGCTTTTCAGGGGCTGCCTCATCTGTTCGAACTTAGACTCTTTGGCTGCGGTCTCTCCGATGCTGTGTTAAAAGATGGTTATTTCAGAAACTTAGAGTCTTTATCTCGCCTGGACCTATCCATGAATCGTATTCATAACCTTTCCCTTCATCCTTCGTTCCGGGAATTAAATTCCTTGAAGTCCATTGACTTTTTCCTCAATCAAGTGCCCGTTGTGTGTGAGCATGACCTCCAGCCCCTCCAGGGGAAAACTCTCAGCTCCTTGAGACTTGCTTCTAATCACCTATACAGCAGGGTGTCAGTGGACTGGGGGAGGTGTATGAACCCATTCAGAAACATGGTGCTGGAGACCTTAGATGTCTCGAACAATGGCTGGACCGTGGACATCACAGGTAACTTCAGCAATGCCATTCGTGGCAGTCAGGTTTCCAATCTGGTTCTTGCCCATCACACTATGGGGGCTGGATTTGGCTTCCATAACATCAAAGAGCCCAACCAGAACACATTCGCCGGCTTGGCCAGCAGCTCAGTGAGACGTCTGGACCTTTCGCACGGATTTATCTTCTCCCTGTACTCCCGACTCTTTGAGACCCTCACAGAGTTGAAGCTTCTGAACATTGCCCATAACAAGATAAACAAGATTGCAGAGGAGGCATTTTATGGGCTCAACAACCTCCAAGTTCTTAATATGTCATATAACCTTCTTGGGGAACTATACAATTCTAACTTCCGTGGACTACCTAATGTCACCTACATCGATCTGCAAAAGAATCACATTGGGATCATTCAGGACAATACATTCACAATCCTGAAAAGATTACAGACCTTAGACCTCCGGGATAATGCTCTGAACACGATTTATTTTATCCCAAACATATCTACTATCTTCTTGGGTGGCAATAAACTGGTGACTTTGCCAGGCATCAAACTCACAGCCAACTTTATCCAATTATCAGAGAACAAGCTGGAAAGTCTGGATGATCTCTACTTCCTTCTCCAGTTCCCTCACCTTCAGATCCTCATTTTAAATCAAAATCGTCTGTCCTCTTGTACCCAAAATCATGCCCCTGTGGAGAGTCTCAGCTTAGAACAGCTTTTCCTTGGAGAAAATATGTTGCAACTTGCCTGGGAGACGGGGTCCTGCTGGGATATTTTCAAGGGGCTTTCCCGCCTCCAGGTCCTGTACTTGAATAATAACTACCTGAATTTCCTTCCACCAGGAGTATTTAGCTCTCTGGTTGCATTAAGGGTACTCAGTCTCAACTCCAACAAGCTGACAGTTCTTTCTCCTGGCGATTTACCTCCTAATTTAGAGAGGCTGGATGTGTCTAGAAACCAGCTCCTATCTCCGGATCCTAAGATATTTGCATCACTTAGCTTCGTGGACATAACTCACAACAAGTTCATCTGCGAGTGCGAACTTAGTACCTTTATCAGGTGGCTCAACCAAACCAATGTCACCATATTTGGGTCTCATGCGGACATATATTGCATGTACCCTGACTCACTCGCTGGGACTTCCCTCTACTCTCTGTCCACAGAGGGTTGTGATGAAGAGCAAAGCTTACAGTCCCTAAAGTTCTCATTTTTCATCTTATTCACTATCATGTTGATTCTATTCCTCATGACCGTCCTCATAGTCACAAAGTGCCAGGGGGCTTGTTTCCTCTGTTACAAGACAGCCCAGAGACTGGTGTGCAAAGACCAAACCGAGACGAGAGAATCTGACACATACAAATATGATGCCTACTTGTGCTTCAGCGGCAAAGACTTTGAGTGGGTGCAGAATGCTTTGCTGAAGCCCCTGGACACTCAGTACAGCAACCAAAACAGACTGAAACTGTGCTTTGAAGAAAGAGACTTTATGCCGGGAGAAAACCGCATCTCCAACATCCACGATGCCGTGTGGAGCAGCAGGAAGACAGTCTGCCTTGTGAGCAGACACTTCCTCAGAGACGGCTGGTGCCTGGAAGCCTTCAGTTACGCCCAGAGCAGGGGCCTCGCTGCCCTCGACAGAGCGCTCATCATGGTGGTGGTCGGGTCCTTGCCCCAGTACCAGCTGATGAAACATGAGTCCATCAGAGGATTTGTACAGAAGCAGCAGTACCTCAGGTGGCCTGAGGATCTCCAGCATGTTGACTGGTTTCTTCATAAACTCTCTCAACACATACTAAAAAAAGGAAAGGAAAAGAAGAAAGACAATATTCCGTTGCAATTTATAGCAACCAGCTAACTTCCTCAAAGGGGTAGTTTTCAACTGGCCTCGAGCCACAGGTCCTCTCCACTTTGTATTTGCACATTTGGGGGTCCTTTTTGAAGTTTCATTTCCCTACTATGAGAAAAACATGAAGCTCTTGATTTTCGTAGCAACACTCCATTGATTTCTTTTCAGGCTCAATAACACCATGCTTTCCTGTTGCGTCAACTACAAAATATTTCCCAGTCATAGGAAGGACACCTTGAGAGAAGTTACAGATGGCAGACACCCCTTCTCCAGCGTCCAGCTCCCGAAGGGGCTGGCCAGTGTCTCCGAGCTCTCTGTGCTCCACAGGACAACACTAGGTAGAGAACACACAGGAAAAGAGGCACGGTTCCTACTTCCGCCATGGGAACAATGCCCTTGCTGGGCCAAGGTCACGCTCAGTCTCAGGGATAAGAGGTGAACCCCAAAGAAGCTGCAATGAGAATAACTAGATCTCCTCCTGTTCTTACCTTTGGCTCCTCCACATGGAACCCTAGTGGGCCATGAACATTCTTTTTGGCAGGTAACCTTTAATTCTGCCTTGCGTTCAAGACCTTCCATGATTTAGCACCAACTATCTCAGCTTAATTTATTTTTTTCATCATTTATCAACCACTCAGGCTCTTGTGGAAAGAACTTAGCCTTGGGACACAGATTCTGATTTGAGTTCTGACGCTGCCGCTCATTCACTTAATGACCTTGAGCATGTGACACACCACTGAGGGGCCTCAGGTTTTTCACCTGTAGGCGCGGCCATGTCTACCTCATCGAGTCACCATGAAGATTAAATTGGCCAAGGACGTCGGGCCAATTCTCAGATCTTGCCCTTAGTTGCCTCAAGGGCCACAAGAGGGTGCAAAGACTGAAGGGCTTCCTGGACAGAGTCAAACTTTCTTTGAAGTTGTATTTTTTTTTTTTTTTGTCATAAAAGAAACCTATGTATAGTTTGCATTATGTTTCATTTTTTTCATGTTCATTTTAATATAGAATGGTTTTCTGAAATTAAGTAAATGTAAAGTAAGGCAGGTTCGCCAATATTACCCATGGCTTCGCCAATAGCCTCTTCCAAGTCCAGCAGAGCTTCGGGACAGCTGCTGCTGTTTGAGGGGCCGCCTAGGCCTGGGGTTCTGCCCTCCAGAATGTCACTTCCGTCCCCTCACTGGGCCCGCCTAATCCTAACTCCTCCAACACACACAGTGGCTATTCTCAGCCTGGCTCCTTTGGGCCCCTTTGATCCATGAGACTGAGCTTGCCCTGCACTTACTGTTTTTATATTTGATCAATGGCTGAGCCCATTAGTCTTGTTCATATGCACAGCGTACACACACCCTAGTCTACCCTTCCTTCTGGAATGTTCTCCCATCTCTGCACATCCATCCTACCTGTTCTTCAAAACCCAGCCCACCAAGCCTCCTGGGGTCCCTCCAGTCCAAAGTCCTCTCTCCCTTCTGTGCAAACTCTTAGCCCTCTGGCTGTGCTTTTACAAGAGACTCTACTTCCTGCCTCCTTTGACAGTGTGAGCCTGGCTCACCGCCCACCCCTGGGGACTGTCAGTTCCCTGAGGAAAGGCCCTTTCTGCTGTGCCCCACCCCCAGCAGCTGGAATTCTCTCTGAGGCCACTTTTCCAAGTCTCACCTCACAAGAGTCGCTGCATGTATGGCAAGAGCAAAGGTTAGCAGTGCTGTGTGGGGGTGGAGGTGCCAGGCGGTTGGCTGAGAGGCCACTCGCTCAGGAACCGCTCCCGAATCCCACTTCACAGCAATTCCAAGCCAGTAAGTTGATCAGTTCCATGGAGTGTGGCCCTTCGGTGTCACTCTTCCGGTGGGGTCACCACTACCATTCAGTCTAAGAATGGCCAGCATTTGCTGTATTTGAAATTAAGATTATTCTGGAAAAGCTAGAATGTTGTTTGGGCTGCTGAAGACTTCAGAGAGAGTCCTACTCACCACCCCAAGTGCAACCAACTTTGAACATTTCTTATCAGCCCCTTGAATCTGCAGAGACTAATATTTTAGATAGTCCTGATAGAATATAAAGTAAATGTGGTTGGAAGCTTGAAATTATGAAACAACTCTATGGGGAGGATAGGAGAATATAAAGTACAGGTGTAAGGTAGATAAAAGCTCACATACCACAAGACAAAATCAAGATAAAATGTCTAGAATGTTAAGCCAAGAAATGGCATCCTGAATGTACATGGAGAAATGTGAAATGCCAGAAGAAAAAACTACATGAATGAATGGCTATTGCCAGAGGGAGTTCTGCCCAATTCCGCCATTGGGAACATCTAGAAAAGCTGGAGAAACTATTTTTTAAATCTGTTTAATGGCTTTCGCGAGCTACAAGGCAGTCGAGAGGGCTGAGATCCAAGAGAAGGACATCAAGAGAGATGTTTGCATTTAAAGTGAGACCTTCTGCCCTGGCCGGTGCGGTGCAGTTGGTTGGATGTCATCTGTCAGCCTGCAGACCAAAAGGTCGCCAGTTCAATTCCTGGTCAGGGTACATGCCTGGGTTGTGTGAAAGGCAACCAATCAATGTTTCTGTCTCACACTGATGTTTCTCTCCCTCTCTTTCTCCCTCCCTTCCCCTCTCTCTAAAGTATAAATAAAAATCTAAAGTAAGACCTTCTATTCATCAAAAAAAAAAAAAAAAAGCCCATCCCAAAATAAAAACAGACGAGAGTATTAAGAATTTCCCAAAAGGATACCCAGTGTCCAAAAGCAAATGAAAAGATATTCAGCTTCTTTTAGTCATCAGGGAAATGCAAATTAAAACCACACTGTGATACTAGCCCCCAACATACACACAGAGAATGGCTAAAATGAAAATAACTAACAGTATCAAGTATTAGCAAGGATGTGAGCAATTAAAATGCAACTATGATTAGTGAGCATGTTTTCAACTTTAAAAAGCAGGTTCTCATTATCTGCCGAAGTTGAGATCACACATGCCCTATGCCCTGCGGCTCAGCTCGTAGGTGTATACACATCAGAAATCCACGCCCACATGCACCAGAAGACGGAAATTGTTATGGCAGTATTATTTCTAGTAGCCAACATTGGAAACAAACCACGTGTCCATCAACCCTAAAATAGATAAATGAATTATGGTCATTGAAATCTGCATAGAAATGGCAATTAACCATTTATAATTACATGCAACACCATGAGTAAATCTCACAAAAAGGTTAAGTCCAAGAACAAGGCCTAACTTTTACATACTGCGTGATTTCATTTTTAGACATTTCAAAGAGGCAAAACTCGTGTGTAGTGATCGTGAAGGTAATGGTTACCTTTGGGAGGAAAGGTGGGCAGTGTTGGGGCGGAAGTGCTTCTGAAATGCTGGTCATGTTCCGTTTCTTGACCTGGACGCTGATGACGTGGGTGTGTGCACATTGTGACAATACATTTCTTCCGCACCAATGAATTTATTCACTTCCCTGTTTGGTATTAGTTTTCAATTGGAAAAAAAAAATTGAAGAGGAGACAGTTTTTTAAAAAGTTTTTTTAATTAAAGGAATAAAAGACGTGGTAGACCCATTCATGAAGCGCTAATAAGACATCCTCCCCGCAAATACCGTACCTTTGTTAGGGATGGCCTCTGGTCTAAATGTGTTTCTCTCGCAGCCCCGACCGAAGGAGAACACATCCGTGATTGTGCGGAGGGGCCCTAGAAAGAGCGAAGGAGGCCGCGTGGGACAGGAGTGGAAGCTTTTATTAGGAGTCAGTGGTACTATTTCATGTTGAACTCCATGCATGCATGTCATTAATACTTTAATAATAACAAAAATAAATAATCAATATGTGCATTCATAACATGGCGTTAACTCCTGCCCTTGGCAGAAATAGAATTAGCCACAAGTGTCCTTAAATGAAACCATCAACAAAGAAACATGACATTATTATTTCAACGGGTGATTTTATTTTCCTTAAGAGTAAAGGAATATTTCGTCTGTTTTACTTAGCAATTAAATATCTCACTTCTCCAGTGCCACAATACGTTCCATTATATGGACTTCTTGAGAAATTAAACGCTTTTATTGTACAGACAATTCCGTGGAAGTAACATGCTCAGAGTGCCCTGGTCCTCGAAGGCCCACAGTCCCAGCGTGTATGACAAGGCAGCTCTATTCTTGAATCTTGGGGACCTGGTCCAACTGTCTGGAAATCTTGTGTGTTTTTTTCCCCTGGCTCGGGTACCTTACCTCTATGAGACCTTGTTTTTCTGTCTCCGCTCACTGAAATGTGATAAAAACCAATGACATCATGTCTCATCGGGGCCTCGGCCCCTTCCAGAAGCAGGTGCCTCGGCAGAGTGGAGGCCAGGGCGTTTTCTTTGCTGTGCTGGCCTGTGTTTGCCGCTCCAGCAGCCCTCGGGGCCTGACACCTGAGGCCGCTTTCTTGGCTTTTCCAGTGACCCTGACCGTGAATTGGCTCCCCTCTTGTTCCCCCTCTGCAGCTGCGTTACGGGCCAGTGCCTTCCAGGCGTGTGGGTCGTGCCAAGCCTTGAAAGGGTTTTCAAAAATAAGTCGCCAGGGTTCCCACGTGCTGGTCCATGGGACGCAAGAGAGCCTTTTTTTGGAGAGGGACCAGGGATCACGCAGCGTTGCATCGGAGGAAGGAAGACCTTCGGGTTTAGGTGTCAAACAAAGGAGGGAAAGTTGGTGTGGGAGTCCCTGGCTGGGGAAGGTGCGCTTCTAGCCGTGCTCTGGCTGGAGTCCCCACGTGAGCCAGGGACAGGAGCGCCCAGCTTGCTCCCTCCCCGGGGACATCCATAGAAAACACTCTGGCCTTTGCATAGGAAGAGTCAAGTTGCCATCCTGGCTGCTGTCTGGCCGTGTGCTATTTAACTGCGAGGAGCTTCCGGTTGGGGGGCTCTTGGTGGCGGTGGCGGTTTCTCCCTGGAATTAAAAGGTACGTGAAACAGGAGTGTAGTTCTGACGCAAAAGAAATGCCCCTCAGCGCCTGGGGGTGCACAGAGGCGACGCTGCCTTGTGTACGTTGACC